TACAAAACTTCTCCAGCTCAGCCCAGTGTCCTTGGTAAAGCCACCATGAATTTCCCCAGCCCAGCCCAACCTCCCCAGTGAAAGCCACCAGAGAACTTCCCCAGCCCAGCCAGTTCAGGTGAAGCCACCAGAGAWCTCCTCCAGCCCAGCCCAGGTGCTCGAGGATCCCTCCTGTGATGGGATCATCCCCCAGTGCTCARTGTCACAATTTCCTCCTTCCAAGGGAATCCCCTCTGGAACAGCCCCTGGCTGAGGGAAGGGTTGGGCCTTGCTGGGTGCAACTGGGAAAAGCCCAGATCCAGGAAATCTTTGGGTGTTCAGAGCTTAAAGTGTTCTCATCACATCCCAACATGGGCATGGAAATATCCCACTGATTATCAGAGAATCAGGGAATATTTGGGTTGGAAAAGACCTTAAATCCCACCCCATCCATGGCAGGGACACCTCCCACTGTCCCCAGGGTGCTCCAGGCCCCAATGTCCAGCCTGGATTTGGACACTGCCCCACACAACCTGACCCCCTCTATGGCAGGCGGATCTGCAATGTGAATTAAACCCACAAAAACAGGGAAATCCTTTGGCACAAGAGCAGGATTTTCCCCCACACCCTCAGGGAACYGTCCCGACGCCYGCRTGTGCAACCCCGCAATGATATCTGKGATCACGGCRCTGCCCTGAGAACAGCTCCAGCRGGAGATTATGTCCTSAAAGCCTCACAAARGATCCTAACACGCTCTTCTGACTCCGAGGAGTGGCTCGGGAGCTCTCACTGACTCCTCCAAGCGCTTCACAAGCCGTGTTTGAGCTGGGATTAAACGCGGAGCCGCCGCCGCGTCTCCAGCCCGGCTTCATTACCGCGGCACGGCCACGCTTGATGCCTGCGCTGGGAAGGGTTTTTTTCCCARCTCTGCAAAGTTGGTTTGGCTCTTCAGACCACATTCATCTTCAGCAGGAGGGGAAAAGAGCATTTTTTATTGCGGGACGGAGGGCAGGGCGCTCCGTCTGCCGCTCCCAGGCTCCGCGGCGCCCATCACTCACCTCCCCGCAAACACCTGCCCCAAAATGAAGATGAAGCGCGGCAGCCGTGAAGTTTAGCAGAGCTCGGGGTTTTGGTTTTTTTTCCCCATGCTTTCCATCATTTGTTTGTGCTTTTCTGACACGCTGGGTTATTTAAAACCCAGCTCGTGCCAATTCCTCATCCCCGAGAGCTGCGGCGCTGCCCGGCTGCCGTTTTTCTTCATTAYTTCAACAGACACCTGAGTTTTTGCTGCGGACGAGGAGTTTTGACAGGATCATGGAATATCCTGAGCTGGACCCATGGATCATCCATCCAGCCCGTCCCTGCACAGACCCCCCCAAAAATCCCCCCTGTGCATCCCTGGCAGCGCTTACCCAAAACTCCTGGAGCTCTGGCAGCCTCGGGGTCTTTCCTGGGGAGCCTGGGCAGTGCCCAGCACCCTCTGGATGAGGAACCTTTCCCTAAAATCCAACCTAAACCTGCCCTGGCACAGCTCCAGCATTCCCTGGGTCCTGTCCCTGCTCACAGAGATTGGAGCTGCCCCTCGGGAGGAACTCAAATCCTGATGAATCTCCCCTCAGTGCTCTCAGCCCCTCCCTGGGCCASTGAGCAGAATTCCCAGATGGAAGCAGAGGATGGGAAAGCAAAGCTCTGCAGCCCTGGKACCCCCACCCAGGCTGAGCTGGGGGGCTCCTGACCCTTCTTGGAAGCGCAGGGGACAATCCCTGGAGGGGCTCAGGCTCTGCAGCAGCAGGGATTGGGACTGAGAGCTGAGACCTCTGGGGAAAACCCTGGAGGTTCAACCCCAGTGGAATCAGGGTTTGGGTGGGAAGGGACCCTAAATCCCATCCCATTGACCCCATCCATGTTCAGGGACCCCTCCCACTGTCCCCAATGTCCAGCCTGGCCTGGGACATTCCCAGGGATCCGGGGCAATCTGGCAATTCCAGCCCAGCCCCTCGCCACCCTCCCAGGCAGGAATTCCTTGCCAAGATCCCAGCCCAAGCTCCCCTTTCCCAGTGGGATCCATTCCCYGKGTCCTGYCCCTGCAGCCCTTGGSCCCAGTCCCTCTCCAGCTCTCCTGGAGCCCCAAAAGCGGCCCCAAAAGGGGCTCTGAGCTCTCCCTGTGTCCTTCCCTTCTCYAGGGRAACACCTYAAGATKTTCYCACAACCTTCCCACRYGCTCTCSYCTCCAGTCCAGGTCCCACTGSATCCCCTCCTCTCCCTGCAGAGTTTGGACCACACCACCCAAACAAAAATCCCTGGGAAGTTTTTCCACCTCCACTCACAGAAATTTCCGAGGAACAACCCCATTCCACCCCAAGCACGGGTCAGACCAACACCTGGAGGTGCCTGAAAGGTGACCCCACCTGCCCTGGGCACCCACCCCTGGCCAAGAAAAGAGTGGACACCAAGGGACATCGTGAGAGGGTGAAAACCAGCAAAAAAGCAGGGTGAAATGTCACATAATGAACCCAAAATGGGGAAAATGGGATTGGAGAAGCAATTCAGTCATCAGGGATTGGCAGCACCATGTGGAGGGGAATGCCCGGATATTCTTTCGGGAATKTTCTCCCAGGACTTGCTGCAGAGATGGAAAAGGGGATCCAAACAAGCCCAGGGGCAGCTTCTGGCTCAGCCTTCCCTCTCTCTTCCTTTCCCACACAGGATTTCCCAAAACCTTTCCAGGTGCTCGTGTCCTCCATCCACACTCYGGACCTGGATCCTCTCAGCCCAGCTGAGAACATGACCTTTCATCCCATTATTCTCAGAGTTTAAACCCTAAAAATCTTGCTGCTTCAAACTCTTTCCTCTTACAGAACACACGGCTGCCTCACAGCTCAGTCCCAGCATGAAAACCAAAAAAATACAGAATTATTTTCTCTGCTTTTTAAGCCCAAACCCCCTTTCCCCCTTTAAATTTATGACCAGAGAACTCGGCGATGCCACAGCAGTCTCAATCACGGTGTTGAATGTCTGCCCGGAGGACAGCAGGTACCACCAGGGATGAGCAGCAGCTCCAGCCCCGGGCACCGAGATTTAAAACCCTCCCGCAATTTATGGCTCTCACTCCTTATAAATAAAGCCGAGCTTAATCCTTTCCTGCCTCACCCCCGCGCCCCGCGAGGTGCGGCAGCTCCTTACAAAGCCGGCGGCGGCTCGTGAACATCAATTCCGGGCTATTTCCCTGGGAATAGGGCGGGAAATCTGCTGGATAAGCAGCTGCTGCTGACAGGAGACAAACGAGCGCCCGGCCCCCGATATTTCAGCGCTAATAAGCTGCTGCTGCTGCTGTGGGTGAAGGTTGTTTGTGTTCCTGCTCGGAATGGTTCGGGCTGGCAGGGATCAGGCACATCCTTGTGCCCATCTCGGCTTGGGGCAGATCATTTGTGATGGGGTTTYATTTCATGGGGTTGAGGGTTTTTCCTGCCATAGATGTCCATCCCAGCTCCGTGGAGGTCATTTATAAGGGATTTCACTTCAGAAGGTTGAGGGTTTTTCCTGCTACAAATGCTCATCTCAGCTCAGTGGAGCTTGTTCATTATGGGGTTTCACTTCATGGGATTGAGGGTTTTTCCTGCCACAAATGTCCATCCCAGCTCCGTGGAGCTCATTTATGAGGGGTTTTACTTCACAGGGTTGAGGAATTTTCCTGCCACAAATGCTCATCTTGGGTCAGTGGAGCTTGTTCATTATGGGGTTTCACTTCATGGGATTGAGGGTTTTTCTGCCACAGATGCTCACCTCAGCTCGGTGAAACTTATTTGTGATGGAGTCTCACTTCACAGGGCTGGGAGTTTACCTGGGATGTCCATCCGAGCTCAGTGAAGCTTGTTCATGATGGGGTTTTGCTTCACAGGGTTGAGGGTTTTTCCTGCCACAGATGCTCATCTCAGCTCCGTGGAGTTCATTTATGAGGGGTTTCAATTCATGAGATTGAGCCTTTTCCTGCCACAGATGCTCACCTCAGCCCAGTGAAACTCATTTGTGATGGAGCCTCACTTCAC